GATGGTAGGCTTGGTTACTTTGGTCCCAGCTCTCTGCAGGTCATTCAACAATGTCCCCCCATGTGGTTCTATGATTTTTTGCTCACTGTTCTTGTGATCATTTTGACCCCACGGGGTGAGATCTTGCGTGGAGCCCCAGATCGAGGGAGATTATCAGTGGTCTTGTATGTCTTCCATTTCCTAATAATTGCTCCCACAGTTGATTTCTTCAAACCAAGCTGCTTACCTATTGCAGATTCAGTCTTCCCAGCCTGGTGCAGGTCTACAATTTTGTTTCTGGTGTCCTTTGACAGCTCTTTGGTCTTTGGCCATAGTGGAGTTTGGAGTGTGACTGTTTGAGGTTGTGGACAGTGTCTTTTATACGGATAACAAGTTCAAACAGGTTCCATTAATACAGGTACGAGTGGAGGACAGAGGAGCCTCTTAAAAAGAAGTTACAGGTCTGTGAGAGCCAGAAATCTTGCTTGTTTGTAGGTGACCATTTACATTTACATTTTAGTAAATACTGGCCCCCCGTGGGAATCGAACCCACAACCCTGGCATTGCAAACACCATGCTCTATCAACTGAGCTACATCCCTGCCGGCCATTCCCTCCCCTACCCTGGACGACGCTGGGCAAATTGTGCGCCGCCCCATGGGTCTCCCGGTCGCGGCCGGCTACGACAGAGCCTGGATTCGAACCAGGATCTCTAGTGGCACAGCTAGCACTGCGATGCAGTGCCTTAGACCCACTGCACCACTCGGGACCATATACTTATTTTCCACCATAATTTGCAAATAAATTCATTAAAAATCCTACAATGTGATTTTCGGATTTTTTTCTCTCAATTTGTCTGTGATAGTTGACATGTACCTATGATGAAAATTACAGGCCTCTCTCATCTTTTTAAGTGGAGAACTTGCACATGGTGGCTGACTAAATACTTTTTTCCCCACTGTAATAGAGAGACAGGCAGATAGACAGATAGACACCGCCCAAGACAACAGAAGTAAGCTACTGCAGTGGATCCATAGAAGAGTGTACCAGGGAATAATTATATTATCTCATACTGGTCTTTTGGTTAACATTTTAGGGAATGATAAAAATGACAGTCTCCATTCTGTATTGATTTACTCATGCCCTTTCTAAGGCTTCATATTTAACTGCTGCTACATCAAAAAGGGAGAGAAAATTCCAAGGGAAAAGAATGTGGGTCAGTGGGCCTCCCCTAAACGCGACCCCGTCTTTCCCGGGTAGCGAAAAACTGCGCTCCCTTCCTCCCATGGAATAATCTTCCGTTTTAACGACAGGGAAACCCTTAATAGCAGGAAGATGGGGCCCCAGACTCAGCAGACCGTCTACTGCGAGACTCCCGACGTAACCATATAGCGCATGGCAAAGAAAGCCCGGTGGGTCATAGCTCAATAACACAACTAAGTGCCCAACTGGCTCGGTCAAAAATCATACAACGTGTGTTCTGTCCGATATTTACCCAGTGTTGGATTGTTTTTAACCCAGCATTTTTTAAAAATGTGGGCTGGTAGACAGACCGATGGATGGACAGACAGACAGACAGACAGGCAAACATGCAGACCGGCAGGCAGGTAGAGACAGAATTGTGCAAGTTCTCCCACTTAAAAAGATGAGAGAGGCCTGTAATTTTCATCATAGGTACACGTCAACTATGACAGACAAAATGAGAAAAAAAAATCGAGAAAATCACATTGTAGGATTTTTCATGAATTTATTTGCAAATTATGGTGGAAAATAAGTATTTGGTCAATAACAAACGTTTCTCAATACTTTGTTATATACCCTTTGTTGGCAATGACACAGGTCAAACGTTTTCTGTAAGTCTTCACAAGGTTTTCACACACTGTTGCTGGTATTTTGGCCCATTCCTCCATGCAGATCTCCTCTAGAGCAGTGATGTTTTGGGGCTGTCGCTGGGCAACACGGACTTTCAACTCCCTCCAAAGATTTTCTATGGGGTTGAGATCTGGAGACTGGCTAGGCCACTCCAGGACCTTGAAATGCTTCTTACGAAGCCACTACTTCGTTGCCCGGGCGGTGTGTTTGGGATCATTGTCATGCTGAAAGACCCAGCCACGTTTCATCTTCAATGCCCTTGCTGATGGAAGGAGGTTTTCACTCAAAATCTCACGATACATGGCCCCATTCATTCTTTCCTTTACACGGATCAGTCGTCCTGGTCCCTTTGCAGAAAAACAGCCCCAAAGCATGATGTTTCCACCCCCATGCTTCACAGTAGGTATGGTGTTCTTTGGATGCAACTCAGCATTCTTTGTCCTCCAAACACGACGAGTTGAGTTTTTACCAAAAAGTTCTATTTTGGTTTCATCTGACCATATGACATTCACCCAATCCTCTTCTGGATCATCCAAATGCACTCTAGCAAACTTCAGACGGGCCTGGACATGTACTGGCTTAAGCAGGGGGACACATCTTTCACTGCAGGATTTGAGTCCCTGGCGGCGTAGTGTGTTACTGATGGTAGGCTTTGTTACTTTGGTCCCAGCTCTCTGCAGGTCATTCACTAGGTCCCCCCGTGTGGTTCTGGGATTTTTGCTCACTGTTCTTGTGATCATTTTGACCCCACGGGGTAAGATCTTGCGTGGAGCCCCAGATCGAGGGAGATTATCAGTGGTCTTGTATATCTTCCATTTCCTAATAATTGCTCCCTCAGTTGATTTCTTCAAACCAAGCTGCTTACCTATTGCAGATTCAGTCTTCCCAGCCTGGTGCAGGTCTACCATTTTGTTTCTGGTGTCCTTTGACAGCTCTTTGGTCTTGGCCATAGTGGAGTTTGGAGTGTGACTGTTTGAGGTTGTGGACAGGTGTCTTTTATACTGATAACAATTTCAAACAGGTGCCATTAATACAGGTAACGAGTGGAGGACAGAGGAGCCTCTTAAAAAAGAAGTTACAGGTCTGTGAGAGCCAGAAATCTTGCTTGTTTGTAGGTGACCAAATATTTATTTTCCACCATAATTTGCAAATAAATTCATTAAAAATCCTACAATGTGATTTTCTGGAATTTTTTTCTCTCAATTTGTCTGTGATATTTGACGTGTACCTATGATGAAAATTACAGGCCTCTCTCATCTTTTTAAGTGGGAGAACTTGCACAATTGGTGACTGACTTTTTTTGAATACTTTTTTCCCCACTGTATATAGAGAGACAGGCAGATAGACAGATAGACACCGCCCCAGAAGAACAGACAGTAAGCTACTGTCAGTGGCTTCCGTATAGAAAGAGTGTACCAGGGAATAATTATTATTTATCTCATACTGGTCTTTGGTTACATTTTAGGAATGATGAATGATGACAGTCTCAATCTCTGTATTGATTTTACTCATGCAGCCTTTCTAATGGCTTCATATTCAACTGCTGCTCACATCAAAAAGGGAGAGAATAATTCCAAAGGAAGAGAATGTGGGTCAGTGTGGCCTCGCTAACGACGCCCTGTCTCCGGGCTAGCGTACAACTGCGCTCCCTTCCTCCGCATGGATGAATCTGTCCCGTTTTAACGACAAGGGGAAACCCTTAATAGCAGGAGAGATGGAGACCCGCAGAGACTCAGACAGACCGTCTAGGCTGCGAGATTTCCATGGTTTGACGGTTAACCATATAGGCTGCCATGGGCACTTAGAAATGCATCTCTGAGACGTTTGAGATCTTTGTTGGGAGTCTTTTCAATGGAAAACATTTATGGGAGGATATTATATGCATGACATTCAATCAAATCCCTGACTGAAATGTGGGAACATGCGACAATGCGAGACAGCTCTCTGATCATTCCATAGAGGCCGGCGCCGCCATGATCAATTCACTACAATGTATTGTTAGCCTACATTATATAGCCTATATAATTTTATTTTATTTGCAGCATTCAAGAAAACGCCATGACATAACCAGGACGGAATAGACTTTCGATGCCAAGAGATGTATCTTGTGTGGGCTTTGACACTGTGAAGTCTATAGGCTAAAGCAGTAGCAGGTTGTTGTGTGCGTGAGGGGTGGATAAAAGGAAAACCATTCAAATACGATTTATCACACCACTTAGGCTACCATTTGTCGTTGCAATCGTTAAATAATACCGGTGTGTGGGGCGACAATGTCTACCTACCGAGGAACGAGGAGTGCCTACCGACAAACGGGGAATGTTCTTCTTGCCTTGGTAAGACATGCCGGCCGGTGTAGCGGTTCACTGGGAGACAGAGAACGCGAAAAACGGATGAATCACCGCTTGGTAGTCTATTTCCTCGCTTTAAAACCGGCCGGAGGTATTTCTGTAGGCTAACTTACACTATCCTACTTGTCAGATCATGTGAATATAGGAATATACAGACAAAATAAGAGAAACAATATGTTCTAGACTACTATTACTTTGGTAGTGCTGTCGCGTACCAGTCTGAGCCCTCCCTTCAACAATACAGCCGGGCTGCTTCGCTCACCATCTGCTCGTTTAATATTCCAGACACATCACATCCTACCGGCTAATGGCTGGCATCACACATCCTACCCGCTAACAGGGGCTATAGGCAGGATGCCTGACAGGCAGGGAGGCTTTGTGGGGAGCCCCATGGCCCTACACAGCCACAATAATTTAGGGCCACTTAAAACACGTGTCTTGATAAAACTCCGGGGCCTATTACCAGTGGGAGTGGCCAGGTGTTGTTATCACAAATACAATGTGAGATCTCTTTATTTATGCCATGTGCAACCAATGGGCAGAATAATGGTAATTTCAGCACTATGCCCATTGGGACAGCTCCTATAGGTTAAACAGTGATCTTGCTTAGAATAGCCTAAGCAACGTGGGTAGCACTTGTTGAAAAGATTCATAGCCTAGGCTATACTTGATAACCGAATTGTATATCAATTAGAATTTATTTTGGCTAATTTCCTCAATTAAGGCATGTGTTCAAAACATCTGATTTGCAAATTGACTTTTGACATGTTGTGAATTTAGGCACAGCGCAACATGAAATATCTTACACTGGGGAAAATACATCTATGAGGCGTGCATTTACCTCCCGTTTTCCATTGTGATCACGGTTGTGTCCAGGTCCAGTCTGGTAAACGATTTGACCCCCGGAGGAGCCGGTTTCTGTCCCCACTGCTCTGTCTCGACTTGGTCTGGTCTCACTGGCGGACGAGAAGTTACTCACACTCCCCGCGTCACTGAAAGTATCCGACCAGCATTTCTCCTCGTTCTTAATCTTAACATGCCGTCTCACAGACTGGGGGCTGCTGTTGTACGACTCAAAATTTAAAGTTTTATTCTCATAAGCGCCTTCCACGTTGCAGAACATCCCACCGAATTTCACTCTGGGTTTTGGGCTGTTTGTCCCCAGTCTAGACAGCAACGACCCTTCATCGTCACTATCTCTTCGGAGAAGTTTCCTCTCTGCCATGGCCAATAACTATTCTTATTCTCAGAAAGAAAGAGAGAGATTAAAACGTTTGTGAAAAAGATCCAAAGTAGACCAAAAAAAGTACTTATACCCAAGTAAAACCTAGGAGTTAATTCCCCTTTGAAGTCTCCCTACTGTAACAGAGGACCTCACCTCCTGACGGGATGGTTAGTTGAGTGACTAGAGGAGCTGTCCACTGGGGCGTGGTGCTGAAATAACCACAGTACAATACTCTGACTGGGAGAAAGATATGACAGGCGACCAGGGGAACTAGGCGAGGTCTTGTTCACAACGGCATGAAATGTTGCTATGGGTTCATTGCCATCACTGAAATCCACTTGGGATTCAAATTAGACTACGGATGTGAGGGGTGTAAATTTTCACACCCAGACGCTGATTCAAGTAATGGAAACGATGACAATACTGTAATTCGTTGAATAATAATTCACCAATGTCTGAGAATTATTTGGCCGGGGGTGTAGTTCGCTTACACACATGAATGCTCACTCAGATCACATAACGCTGAATGAGGATGTGTTTTGCCCGAGGCCCGGGGAAGCAGTTATAATGTGTGGTGGACCCGCTGGATGACTGGTTTTACATGAAAGGACTAAGTTAGTCTAGCCAGCTATCTAAACTTCTAGTAATCATGGTCAAATAACCGACGGGCCCTGAATTTGTTGGTCACTCTCACTCAGATATCATATAAAAAACTACAAACATTTCTCTCTGTCAATGGCAAAACGAGTAGAATTGCATGAAATTAGTTCTAAAGTTACTAAATATTCTCTCTGCCCCCATGAGAAAATATGTAGAATTGCAGCAAACTTGCTTTAAAATTGCAAAACTTTTCTCTACACCTCATGGCAAAGTGAATTGCAGCAAATTAACTCTAACATGCTCGCCACACCGCACGTGTCGCGTGCGCAAGCGTTGCAAAATAAATGTACACATACATAATAATAATATAATAATATAATAATAATAATAATATGTTATTCAGTCATTGCACCCACACTGCTCGCGGACGTCAACAAGCGTCTGCGTGGCCAGGCGCTAAAATAGAACTCGGTTCTATTTGTGACGCTCAACGCGCTGCAAGTCCCGCCTCTCCCATCTGCTCATTGGTTTTTAGGAGCATCTACCCAGGTGCGTGATTGAAAGATGAACTGAGGTCTACGCTCCAGTCCAGTTGGTTGCGGTAATGCACCATAAAGTTGGTTGCCAACCGCCATATAAAGTACAAAGAAGAAGAAGAACCCTGAAGGAGGAGAGAACTAGAAAGTCACGCGGTTTACCCTTTTATATGTGCATTTCAGGTAATACAACAACCCAGTGTTTATATCCCAGGACAAATTAGCTAGCAACAGCAAGCTAGCTAGCTAAAAATGCCATGAATGTTTAATGCTTTTCGACCTATCCCCAAATTAATGAAATTGGTTCAGAGTTCATTTTGATATTTCAACCTGCGTGTCCTGATCGCATCTGGTGTGGGTGGACAGAATCAACATGCGCCAGGATGGCATGCTGACTAGACCGGGCGCGGGCGTGCGTCCGCCATTGCTCGCATGTTGATTTTGTCCACCCACACCAGCGCGTCAAGTGTCACAGATAGAAGCAAGTTCTATTTTAGCGCCTGGCTACGCAGACGCTTGTTGACCTGCACGAGCAGTGTGGGTGCAATGATTGAATAACATTTATAAACGCGAGCTGTGTGGTCAGCATGTAGACAAACAATTGTTATCTTCACTGTCAAGACGGGGGCCTCTAAAATGTTTTGCTCACAAGGTGGGGGCCCCAAACAAAATGTCACCTAGGGCCTCCAAAAGGCTATGGGCCAGCTCCGTATGCATGTGGGTACGCAGACCCCCGAGCCACTGCGGCCCCTCATGACGAGTTCAGATTTTTGTGGCCCCAACCCCATCAAAGTTGCCCATCCCTGATATACAACATTCAAACATTGTTTGATAATTAGCATTCCCGTGTAAAACAAACTAACTCTCCTCAAACATCTAAGGTGACCGTCAGTCATGTAGACACAACACACACACACACACACACACACACACACACACACACACACACACACACACCCTACTGTGTACCATACCCTGAGGATGCTTTAGTCTCTGAGAGGCAGCATGGAGTGAGTCTTCAGCCTTCCATTTCACAGATCCGCTTAAATATTTCCTTGTCTTAGACATCAGGGAGAGCATGCATGGCTGTGGGGCCACTGTGTATTAGTCTTAGACATTAGGGCATGTGAGGTCACAGTGTGGCTGAGAGAGTCTGCATGTCTCTGAGATGCCCTACGGCAGAGACCTACATTTCACAAGGACATTCCTCCCCCTCCCTCTCCTCCCCACTGGCTTCTCTCATATTAGAGAGGACTTACTTTGTTAGGGCTGTGGATTTCATCCCACTATGCAGCTACTGCCTGTTAAAGATGGAATCTGCACTAGGGGAAACAGCTCCAATGTTAAAGATGGAATCTGCACTAGGGGAAACAGCTCCAATGTTAAAGATGGAGTCTGAACTAGGGGAAACAGCTCCAATGTTAAATATGGAATCTGAACTAGGGGAAACAGCTCCAATGTTAAAGATGGAATCTGAACTAGGGGAAACAGCTCCAATGTTAAAGATGGAATCTGAACTAGGGGAAACAGCGCCACTGTTAAAGATGGAATCTGAACTAGGGGAAACAGCTCCAATGTTAAAGATGGAATCTGAACTAGGGGAAACAGCTCCAATGTTAAAGATGGAATCTGAACTAGGGGAAACAGCTCCAATGTTAAAGATGGAATCTGAACTAGGGGAAACAGCTCCAATGTTAAAGATGGAATCTGCACTAGGGGAAACAGCGGCAATGTTAAAGATGGAATCTGAACTAGGGGAAACAGCTCCAATGTTAAAGATGGAATCTGAACTAGGGGAAACAGCTCCAATGTTAAAGATGGAATCTGAACTAGGGGAAACAGCGCCACTGTTAAAGATGGAATCTGAACTAGGGGAAACAGCTCCAATGTTAAAGATGGAATCTGAACTAGGGGAAACAGCTCCAATGTTAAAGATGGAATCTGAACTAGGGGAAACAGCTCCAATGTTAAAGATGGAATCTGAACTAGGGGAAACAGCTCCAATGTTAAAGATGGAATCTGCACTAGGGGAAACAGCGGCAATGTTAAAGATGGAATCTGAACTAGGGGAAACAGCTCCAATGTTAAAGATGGAATCTGAACTAGGGGAAACAGCTCCAATGTTAAAGATGGAATCTGAACTAGGTTAAACAGCGCCACTGTTAAAGATGGAATCTGAACTAGGGGAAACAGCTCCAATGTTAAAGATGGAATCTGAACTAGGGGAAACAGCTCCAATGTTAAAGATGGAATCTGAACTAGGGGAAACAGCTCCAATGTTAAAGATGGAATCTGAACTAGGGGAAACAGCTCCAATGTTAAAGATGGAATCTGAACTAGGGGAAACAGCTCCAATGTTAAAGATGGAATCTGAACTAGGGGAAACAGCTCCAATGTTAAAGATGGAATCTGAACTAGGGGAAACAGCTCCAATGTTAAAGATGGAATCTGAACTAGGGGAAACAGCTCCAATATCCGCCCCACCACCGTTGTTGTTGTTATTGTTTTGTCGATGAAGCGGAGGTGAGGAGCATCAGGCAACACGGTTAAAAAAACCGCTGTATACTTTCTGCTGTTCTAACACGCGTGCAATGACATCATATCCCAGCTTCACCATTAAGGATTCCAGCTTGAAGCTTCTGCTCTTCTACAACTGTAGTACGATCCAAAATCAATCCCTTTTGTGTTTGGTTATGGATTGAACTTTACAGCCTTCGAAATAATCATATCCAAGAGTGGCATGGAGAACTTTTACACTTTTGTGCCGAAATATCAAGTATTTCAGGTATTTTAGGGTTCAGCATACATTTAGCTCACCCTTAGCAAACCAGATTGGAACGACCCAGAGTAGGCCCCATAGCCTACACATACAAACGCATTGAAAAGCCGTCTATGGCAAACATTTTCTGTAGTGTAGCGCCCTCTACTGTTGGTATTCAGCACAGACAACTGAGCCTCACTTCACTTTACACATTCAACTTTAATCAACCAACAATAACACGTGCATATAAAAATGATATCAAAAGATAAAACAATATTAAACATTGGTTGATAATAATAATCCATTTCCAGATGTGTCATAAAGCATTCATATAATATTCTTCTTACCTGTGCCTTTGTTTGTGGTGGTGACTTTTCAATGTTTGGTTTTAGATGAGACGTCATCTATTCCTATTATTCTGATATGGCTGGTGATGTCCAGTGTTTATCACTTCAAGTCTTCTGTGTGTGAGTGTGTGTGCGTGCGTGTGTTGTGTTCGTGTGGGTGTGTGCTTGGTTATGAAGGTGCATTATTCCGTAGAAACGGGGCTTGATCCCATTTAATGGCAACATAATGCATAAAATACATCTTTAGTACTTGATCTGCTTTAACATGAGTCATAAAGATTCAATGGGAGGTATTTGTCTCATCAGGATATAACAGAACTAACCAAGGTCCACATCTGAAGCAAACCCACCCTCTCCATCAGGATATAACAGAACTAACCAAGGTCCCCATCTGAAGCAAACCCACCCTCTCCATCAGGATATAACAGAACTAACCAAGGTCCCCATCTGAAGCAAACCCACCCTCTCCATCAGGATATAACAGAACTAACCAAGGTCCCCATCTGAAGCAAACCCACCCTCTCCATCAGGATATAACAGAACTAACCAAGGTCCCCATCTGAAGCAAACCCACCCTCTCCATCAGGATATAACAGAACTAACCAAGGTCCCCATCTGAAGCAAACCCACCCTCTCCATCAGGATATAACAGAACTAACCAAGGTCCCCATCTGAAGCAAACCCACCCTCTCCATCAGGATATAACAGAACTAACCAAGGTCCCCATCTGAAGCAAACCCACCCTCTCCATCAGGATATAACAGAACTAACCAAGGTCCCCATCTGAAGCAAACCCACCCTCTCCATCAGGATATAACAGAACTAACCAAGGTCCCCATCTGAAGCAAACCCACCCTCTCCATCAGGATATAACAGAACTAACCAAGGTCCCCATCTGAAGCAAACCCACCCTCTCCATCAGGATATAACAGAACTAACCAAGGTCCCCATCTGAAGCAAACCCACCCTCTCCATCAGGATATAACAGAACTAACCAAGGTCCCCATCTGAAGCAAACCCACCCTCTCCATCAGGATATAACAGAACTAACCAAGGTCCCCATCTGAAGCAAACCCACCCTCTCCATCAGGATATAACAGAACTAACCAAGGTCCCCATCTGAAGCAAACCCACCCTCTCCATCAGGATATAACAGAACTAACCAAGGTCCCCATCTGAAGCAAACCCACCCTCTCCATCAGGATATAACAGAACTAACCAAGGTCCCCATCTGAAGCAAACCCACCCTCTCCATCAGGATATAACAGAACTAACCAAGGTCCCCATCTGAAGCAAACCCACCCTCTCCATCAGGATATAACATAACTAACCAAGGTCCCCATCTGAAGCAAACCCACCCTCTCCATCAGGATATAACAGAACTAACCAAGGTCCCCATCTGAAGCAAACCCACCCTCTCCATCAGGATATAACAGAACTAACCAAGGTCCCCATCTGAAGCAAACCCACCCTCTCCATCAGGATATAACAGAACTAACCAAGGTCCCCATCTGAAGCAAACCCACCCTCTCCATCAGGATATAACAGAACTAACCAAGGTCCCCATCTGAAGCAAACCCACCCTCTCCATCAGGATATAACAGAACTAACCAAGGTCCCCATCTGAAGCAAACCCACCCTCTCCATCAGGATATAACAGAACTAACCAAGGTCCCCATCTGAAGCAAACCCACCCTCTCCATCAGGATATAACAGAACTAACCAAGGTCCCCATCTGAAGCAAACCCACCCTCTCCATCAGGATATAACAGAACTAACCAAGGTCACCATCTGAAGCAAACCCACCCTCTCCATCAGGATATAACAGAACTAACCAAGGTCCCCATCTGAAGCAAACCCACCCTCTCCATCAGGATATAACAGAACTAACCAAGGTCCCCATCTGAAGCAAACCCACCCTCTCCATCAGGATATAACAGAACTAACCAAGGTCCCCATCTGAAGCAAACCCACCCTCTCCATCAGGATATAACAGAACTAACCAAGGTCCCCATCTGAAGCAAACCCACCCTCTCCATCAGGATATAACAGAACTAACCAAGGTCCCCATCTGAAGCAAACCCACCCTCTCCATCAGGATATAACAGAACTAACCAAGGTCCCCATCTGAAGCAAACCCACCCTCTCCATCAGGATATAACAGAACTAACCAAGGTCCCCATCTGAAGCAAACCCACCCTCTCCATCAGGATATAACAGAACTAACCAAGGTCCCCATCTGAAGCAAACCCACCCTCTCCATCAGGATATAACAGAACTAACCAAGGTCCCCATCTGAAGCAAACCCACCCTCTCCATCAGGATATAACAGAACTAACCAAGGTCCCCATCTGAAGCAAACCCACCCTCTCCATCAGGATATAACAGAACTAACCAAGGTCCCCATCTGAAGCAAACCCACCCTCTCCCAAGCACCAAGGGGGAAGACCAGACTTACATAATCTGATCAAATGGAAAAGTCTAAAAGCATTGAAAGCACCTTCATTCTTCATCAACAACAAAAAAATATCTAATTTAGCATTTTATTTATTCCTCTTTTGAGAAATGTATTTTAAAATCTTTGCATTTTTTAATACATAAAAAAAAAAATACATGATGTCTAATATTACCACAGTTTGGCTTCTGGTTTCATTTCAAACACTGAGATTGAGGAGCTAATGAGTCCCACAGCATGTCTGGACTAGACAGGCAGGGCTGAGGCCATAGAGATAGATAGAGGGTACACTAGCCACAAAGTCTGTTTCAGTATGGGCGGCATCATTGAAGGCTTTCACCATTTTTAAAAGTTGGGGGATGAGCTCTCTTTGTGTGGCTGAGGCTAGCTCCCTGTGAGTGTAATAACAGCGTGGTCAGATGGTGATAACAGCGTGGTCAGATGGTGATAACAGCGTGGGCAGATGGTGTAAACGGTGGGATGGTGTCCATTTTTAGGAAACGCTCAGCTTCAGTGGGGGTGTGTGAACATTAAGAACTATGGTAACATTTCTCAATTCACCGTTTAACCTTAAAACACCTAGTGACCTCGTCAAGAGGTTTTGGAATCTCTTGGCTAAGGTGTTGGGTTGACAGCAAAGTTCCAGGTTTAAGCCCCGAGCAGGACTACCGGATGACTTCACTACAGTTTGTTTCAATCAATCAAACTCTTCTTCTTCTTCTTCTTCTTCATGCTTCCAAAGGGAAGCGACCAGAGCACCACCTGCTCAGCAGGGAAAAAAAACACAAAACACTCCCATTTTGAGGAGTTCTTCAATTCCACTGAAGTCTTCATCCATAGAGAGGAAGTCTTCCATCGAGAATTCAACATCATCATCACTTCAAGAGAGGGACAGCAGTCAGGTTTAAAAGGTTACTGAAGTAAAAGTTTTGCTGTCCTTACAAAAAAAAAAAACATGGTAATAGTATTCTCTTTAAAGTCAGTGTTGCAGCATAGTTGACTGGTTTCCCATGTGAGGAGAAGTCTTCGGAAAGACTTTCAGGACACTGGGAGCCAGCTTGGATTCCAAATCGTGTCCTCTTGAACAAAATGGAGAAGACAATCTGGAAACCTGTGGACTGAAATTACAATATGATATGACGCAACAGTATATAGACTAATGTATTATTTGAATGGTTAAAGAAACAGAGATATTTAGGTAAAAAAGACATACTTGCCCTGGCTTCCCAGGAGAACTATGACCAAAGAATAAAGGCTAAAGAAAAAAACAAAAATAAAAATAAAAACTGAAGGAATGAAAAGAAGATAATGGAGAGAAAGGAGAGAGTCATTTCTGCCAGATGGAGAACAGACAGCAATTTGTAGCATTCATATTCCAAGTCTGAATAAATGCATCTATTAAATACAGTTCAATTCAACTGAGCAATACAACACAGTGTCACTGGTTTCTAGGGACCATTTGACCGGGTTTACCTTTTCTTCTAGTTCCTTTATCTGTCTTCTCTGTGCTGCTATCCATTCCTCCAGCTCTTTGATTCTCTGGACATGAAAACAGGATGAACAATAAGGTGGACAATAAGTTCAATCAGATCAGAGTAAATGTTCAATATTGATGTATTGTAGGGTAGCTGAGGAAGGAGGATCTCCCTGGGGAATGTACTGTAGGGTAGCTGAGGAAGGAGGATCTCCCTGGGGAATGTACTGTAGGGTGGCTGAGGAAGGAGGATCTCCCTGGGGAATGTACTGCAGGGTAGCTGAGGAAGGAGGATCTCCCTGGGGAATGTACTGTAGGGTGGCTGAGGAAGGAGGATCTCCCTGGGGAATGTACTGTAGGGTAGCTGAGGAAGGAGGATCTCCCTGGGGAATGTACTGTAGGGTAGCTGAGGAAGGAGGATCTCCCTGGGGAATGTACTGTAGGGTAGCTGAGGAAGGAGGATCTCCCTGGGGAATGTACTGTAGGGTAGCTGAGGAAGGAGGATCTCCCTGGGGAATGTACTGTAGGGTGGCTGAGGAAGGAGAATCTCCCTGGGGAATGTACTGTAAGGTAGCTGAGGAAGGATCTCCCTGGGGAATGTACTGTAGGGTAGCTGAGGAAGGAGAATCTCCCTGGGGAATGTACTGTAAGGTAGCTGAGGAAGGATCTCCCTGGGGAATGTACTGTAGGGTAGCTGAGGAAGGAGGATCTCCCTGGGGAATGTACTGTAGGATAGCTGAGCTCCATCCTCTACCAGCTCCATCCTCTACCAGCTCCATCCTCTACCTGTACCAGCTCCATCCTCTACCTGTACCAGCTCCATCCTCTACCTGTACCAGCTCCATCCTCTACCAGCTCCATCCTCTCCCTGTACCAACTCCATCCTCTACCAGCTCCATCCTCTCCCTGTACCAGCTCCATCCTCTACCAGCTCCATCCTCTACCAGCTCCATCCTCTACCAGCTCCATCCTCTACCAGCTCCATCCTCTCACCTGCTGTGAGTGCTGTAGCAGCTCCATTCTCTCCCTGAGGATCTGTGAGTCCCTCTCTCTTAGCTCCGTCATGACCGCTCTCTTCCACTGCTCCACCGCCCGACGCAGTTTCTCTCTCTCGTCGTCCGACAGCATCTCCGCCATCTTGGCCCCCGCCTCCTGTTGCAGGGCATTAAACAGCATCGCCTCTAGCTCCAAGATCCTCTGGAGGGGAGAGAGGGAGGGAGGGAGGGAGGGGAGAGAGGAAGGAGGAGAGAGAGGGAGGGAGGGGAGAGAGAGAGGGAGGGAGGGGAGGGAGGGAGGGGAGAGAGGGAGGGAGGGAGGGAGGGAGGGGAGAGAGGGAGGGAGGGGAGAGAGGGAGGGAGGGAGGGGAGAGAGGGATGGAGAGAGGGAGGGAGGGGAGAGAGGGGAGAGGGAGGGGAGAGAGGGGGGGGGGGGGGAGGGGAGAGAGGGAGGGAGGGAGGGGAGGGGAGAGAGGGAGGAGGAGAGTGAAAAGGTAGTTTGTGTTACACCAAACAACCACAGCTGCAGCTAGTCAGTGGGTGGAGAATGTGATCCACTGGCTCAATGTTCTCTATGTGGGCATATACACTGACTATACAAAACATTAAGAACACCTGCTCTTTCCACGACCCCTTATTGATGTCACTTGTTAAATCCACTTCAATCAGTGTAGATGAAGGGGAGGAGACGGGTTTAAGAAGGATTTTTAAGCCTTGAGACAATTGAGACATGGATTGTGTATGTGTGCCAGAGGGTGAATGGGCAAAACAAAATATTAAAGTGCTTTTGAACGGGGTATGGTAGTAGGTGCCAGGCGCACTGGTTTGAGTCAAGAACTGCAACGCTGCTGGGTTTTTCACGCTTAACAGTTGTGTCTCAAGAATGGTCCACCACCCAAAGGACATCCAGCCAACTTGACACAACTATGGGAAGCATTGGAGTCAACATGGGCCAGCATCCCTGTGGAACGCTTTCGACCCCTTGTAGAGTCCATGCCCCGACGAATTGAGGCTGTTCTGAGGGCAAAAAGGGGGGAGTGCAACTCAATATTAGGAAGGTGTTCTTAATGTTTTGTCCACTCACTGTATATTTCCATTTTCTATTTGAGTCATTTAGCAGGATGCTCTTATCCAGAGTGAGAGTGTTAGTTTACAAAGGCAAGCTTTTCCTTGAACATTTGGGTCCATTTGAAATGCCTCTCACCTTGTGTGCCTGAGCCATGGACTGTTTCCTGTAGTCCAACTCCTCATCCAGATAGCCTTTCTGTTTACTAAACACATGCTGCAGATAACACACAGAACACAACCTCATCATCCAGATAACTCCTACTAAAGATTCATACAAAATCATTCATTCATTTGTTCATTCATTCATTCATTATTTCTTTCTTTCATTCATTTGTTCATTCATATAAGATGTCTGTTAAACACTGTAGGTCGGGCTACAATATATCGCCAGTTGCCAATGCACTTTAAGCATATACCATATACCACGTACTTCCATGCAAAACAACTTGAGCAGCATGCTAAATGAGAAGGGTTCAAATAAAAATGCAGATCAGCCATTTACCTTCTCACTTTCAATGTCCATCCTTTTCTGTGCTAAAGCGGTTTTGGTGACCTCTATATTCTCAAGCCACTGAAAGGAGAAGACAGTAAGCAGGATATTCAGCTGGGAATAAAACATTATTTTATCTCATTAACTCAATGATGCAAAGCCTACGACAGGGATTCAAAGACAAGGCCGGCATTCAAACAAACAAAGATCAACAGCCTTTTGAAATGTAAGTTAATAAAAAATATATATAAAAAAATACCCTTTCTGCTAGTGTTAAGACAGTCCTGGCGTGAATGGCAACCACTTGCTCCTCATTGGATAGGTTCTGGGTGGTACATGGTACATAGGGAAAACACAACACTCAGACACTCAGTATCAAGCAAACAGCAGATCCATCAACACAGAGGAGACAGACAGAGCAATGAGTTCAGTGATGTTGGAGCGGACCATACTGCAGGCAAACAGCAGATCCATCAACACATTTACATTACATTTTAGTCATTTAGCAGACGCTCTTATCCTCTTATCTTATTTTATTTTTCATACTGCCCCCCCCCCAAGATTGTAGACCTACACAAGGCTGGAATGGGCTACAAGACCATGGCCAAGCAGCTTGGTGAGAAGGTGACAACAGTTGGTGCGATTATTCGCAAATGGAAGAAACACAAAATACCTGTCAATCTCCCTCGGCCTGGGGCTCCATACAAGATCTCACCTCGTGGAGTTGCAATGATCATGAGAACAGTGAGGAATCAGCCCAGAACTACACGGGAGGATCTTGTCAATGATCTCAAGGCAGCTGGGACCATAGTCACCAAGAAAACAATTGGTAACACGACGCCGTGAAGGACTGAAATCTTGCAGTGCCCGCAAGGTCCCCCTGCTCAAGAAAGCACATATACAGGGCCGTCTGAAGTTTGCCAATGAACATCTGAATGATTCAGAGGAGAACTGGGTGAAAGTGTTGTGGTCAGATGAGACCAAAATCGAGCTCTTTAGCATCAACTCAACTCGCCGTGTTTGGAGGAGGAGGAATGCTGCCTATGACCCCAAGAACACCATCCCCACCGTCAAACATGGAGGTGGAAACATTATGCTTTGGGGGTGTTTTTCTGCTAAGGGGACAGGACAACTTCACCGCATCAAAGGGATGATGGACGGGGACATGTACCGTCAAATCTTGGGTGAGAACCTCCTTCCCTCAGCCAGGGCATTGAACATGGGTCGTGGATGGGTATTGCAGCATGACAATGACCCAAAACACACGGCCAAGGCAACAAAGGAGTGGCTCAAGAAGAAGCACATTAAGGTCCTGGAGTGGCCTTGCCAGTCTCCAGACCTTAATCCCATAGAAAATCTGTGGAGGGAGCTGAAGGTTCGAGTTGCCAAACGTCAGCCTCGAAACCTTAATGACTTGGAGAAGATCTGCAAAGAGAAGTGGAACAAAATCCCTCCTGAGATGTGTGCAAACCTGGTGGCCAACTACAAGAAACGTCTGACCTCTGTGATTGCCAACAAGGGTTTTGCCACCAAGTACTAAGTCATGTTTTGCAGAGGGGTCAAATACTTATTTCCCTCATTAAAATGCAAATCAATTAATAATATTTTTGACATGCATTTTTCTGGATTTTTTTGTTGTTATTCTGTCTCTCACTGTTCAAATAAACCTACCATTAAAATTATAGACTGATCGTGTCTTTGTCAGTGGGGAAACGTACAAAATCAGCAGGGGATCAAATACTTTTTCCCCTTACTGTACAACACAGAGGAGACAGACAGAGCAATGAGTCCAGTGATGTTGGAGCGAACCATACTGCAGGCAGACATACATGTACATACATGTAGATAGGAAATGAACATACACTTACGGCATTATCCCCCAGTATATCTAGCTTTTTCATCAGCTCTGTGATGACGATGTCCTGCCAGGGAGAAGAGACAAGAACATCAGGTTAAACTTCAAATAAAATCAAAATCAACCCCTTAACACTCCCCCTTTGACCAAGGGTATTCAACTCTGACCCTACGAGGTCTGGAGCCTGCTGGTTGTCTGTTCTACCTGATCATTAATATCACCCACCTGGTGTCTCAGGTCTAAACCAGTCCCTGATTAGAGGGGAACAATGGAAAAAAAGGCAGTGGAACTGGCTTTGAGGTCAAGATTTGAATTTGGAGGGCCATAGACACCTCTCTTAGCCCCTAGCTCCTAACCTCTACCCCCTAGCACCTTTCATAAGATATTATTATGAAGGATATAGACTCACTTCTGCCTTCACCAAACTATATTATATATGACATTATTATTATGATAGATGTAGACTCACTGTGACTCCCTCTGCCTCACAGTACACCTGCAGTGGACTGACGCCTTCACAGAAGTGGACGTCGTGGAAGTTGATGCCTGGAGATCTCCTCTCCCGCTCCTGGATGGTGATAAGATGTCGTTATTACTAGATGGCCCACCTTGGAGACCATGGGCATGTAAAACTAGCCTGCAAGTCTTTAATTACCTACAGTATCTAGGAGTATAGCTAAAACTGATAATACATTTCCAAAACCTGAATAACATTAAGATGAAACATTTTCGTCCAATTGTATCCAAGGTCCAATGGAAACACATACAGGTTGGAGACGATGCCATACTACGGAGCTCGTGGAGCGGTTGTTGGGAGGAGTTTAAATTCCCTGCTCTTACTTCAAGTTCAAGGATCCGGAACTCCAGGAGTTCATTTTGGTCTCTGGCGTCCTGAAATTCGTTTTTTAAACGTGACTCCTCTGTTTCCACGTGCTTGATCTGTTAGAGAGGGAAATACACGGGACAGATAACCACAATCACATTTTTTCCAATCACACCTGAATTTCATGTGACACATCACTTTGAGTAAATATGATGGATAATAGTTCATACCTTTTCTATAAGTTCTTGATTTCTTTGAAACAGGGCCTGTTTCTCTTCGATCCACTTCATATCCTTCAAACACACAAGGAATCAGGTAATCAGTGGCAAAGAACAGTGTGTGTGTCTGTGTGTGTTTGCTCAGCTGGTAGAGCATGGCGCTTGTAACGCCAAGGTAGTGGGTTCGATCCCCGGGACCACCCATACACAAAAATGTATGCACGCATGACTGTAAGTCGCTTTGGATAAAAGCGTCTGCTAAATGGCATATTATTATTATTTTATTATTGAATACGTGCGCGTGTGTGTGTGCGTGTGGCTGTATGTGTGTGCAATCCAGTCACCTGTCCTTGTTGGGACAGAACACACTCTAGGTCCTGTATTCTGGTTTGGTAGAGAATAAGCTCTGCTTGCAACTGTTCTCTTGTCTGTGGAGTGAAGAGAACAACATTCACTGGTTATATACAATGATAATAAATGATAGTAGAATATGTTTCCCTACCTGGTTCAGTCTCTATGGCAGCATTCTGACTCTACCTGGTTCAGTCTCTACCTGGTTCAGTCTCTATGGCAGCATTCAGTCTCTACCTGGTTCAGTCTCTATGGCAGCATTCTGACTCTACCTGGTTCAGTCTCTACCTGGTTCAGTCTCTATGGCAGCATTCTGTCTCTACCCGGTTCAGTCTCTAGGGCAGCATTCTGACTCTACCTGGTTCAGTCTCTATGGCAGCATTCTGACTCTACCTGGTTCAATCTCTAGGGCAGCATTCTGTCTCTACCTGGTTCAGTCTCTACCTGGTTCAGTCTCTAGGGCAGCATTCTGTCTCTACCTGGTTCAGTCTCTATGGCAGCATTCTGACTCTACCTGGTTCAGTCTCTATGGCAGCATTCTGACTCTACCTGGTTCAGTCTCTATGGCAGCATTCTGACTCTACCTGGTTCAGTCTCTATGGCAGCATTCTGACTCTACCTGGTTCATTCTCTATGGCAGCATTCTGACTCTACCTGGTTCAGTCTCTATGGCAGCATTCTGACTCTACCTGGTTCAGTCTCTATGGCAGCATTCTGACTCTACCTGGTTCAGTCTCTATGGCAGCATTCTGTCTCTACCTGGTTCAGTCTCTACCTGGTTCAGTCTCTAGGGCAGCATTCTGACTCTACCTGGTTCAGTCTCTATGGCAGCATTCTGACTCTACCTGGTTCAATCTCTAGGGCAGCATTCTGTCTCTACCTGGTTCAGTCTCTACCTGGTTCAGTCTCTATGGCAGCATTCTGACTCTACCTGGTTCAGTCTCTATGGCAGCATTTTGACTCTACCTGGTTCAGTCTCTATGGCAGCATTCTGACTCTACCTGGTTCAGTCTCTAGGGCAGCATTCTGACTCTACCTGGTTCAGTCTCTAGGGCAGCATTCAGTCTCTACCTGGTTCAGTCTCTAGGGCAGCATTCTGTCTCTACCTGGTTCAGTCTCTAGGGCAGCATTCTGACTCTACCTGGTTCAGTCTCTAGGGCAGCATTCTGACTCTACCTGGTTCAGTCTCTAGGGCAGCATTCAGTCTCTACCTGGTTCAGTCTCTAGGGCAGCATTCTGTCTCTACCTGGTTCAGTCTCTAGGGCAGCATTCTGACTCTACCTGGTTCAGTCTCTAGGGCAGCATTCAGTCTCTACCTGGTTCAGTCTCTAGGGCAGCATTCTGTCTCTACCTGGTTCAGTCTCTAGGGCAGCATTCTGACTCTACCTGGTTCAGTCTCTAGGGCAGCATTCTGTCTCTACCTGGTTCAGTCTCTAGGGCAGCATTCTGTCTCTACCTGGTTCAGTCTCTAGGGCAGCATTCTGACTCTACCTGGTTCAGTCTCTAGGGCAGCATTCAGTCTCTACCTGGTTCAGTCTCTAGGGCAGCATTCTGTCTCTACCTGGTTCAGTCTCTAGGGCAGCATTCTGTCTCTACCTGGTTCAGTCTCTACCTGGTTCAGTCTCTAGGGCAGCATTCTGTCTCTACCTGGTTCAGTCTCTAGGGCGGCATTCTGGTTTGAGACCTGTATGCTTAACTCACATATTCTCTCACTGACGTCAATTAATGATTTATGCAAATGTCTCAACTGAATCAGGCCTTGGAGGAGTCCTACTTATGAAGGACAAGTGAATATGACCTTAGCCCAATACTTCTTGTGGACTAGTGGTCTAAAATACATTCCTGCCCAGTGAATGAAATACATGTTTTGATAATGGCATCATAAAAGAGCACCTCTTACCTTGACTTCCTTCTCTGCATCAAACGTGCCCCCAACCTGCTCCTGTAGAAGTGCATAGGCTCTCTGAAGAGCCTGGTACTCCATGGTCAACTGATGAAACCTCATCTCTGTCTCCTCCCTGATCATACCCTACAGGCAGGCAGGCAGGCAGACAGACAGACAGACAGACAGACAGACAGACAGACAGACAGACAGACAGACAAGCAGACAGACAGACAAGCAGACAGGCAGACAGACAGACACAGACAGGCAGACAGTCGGGCAGACAGGCAGACATGCAGGTAGACAGACACAGACAGGCAGACAGACGGGCATGGAGGCAGACAGACACAGACGAGCGGGCAGGCAGACAGACAGACAGACAGACAGACAGACAGACAGACAGACAGACACAAACAACAGTCAAACCCCATGGTCATTATAACACAACATCAGAAATAACATATTACATATGAAACCGTCTGATTTTCAGTAAACGTTGCATTGCATATTTACACTTCTGTAATTCACTGCTGTATATCAAGAATGGAAACACACTTTCAAATTCATTTATAATTCTATAACATCAAGCTTTCATTAGGAATCAAAGGACAAAACATATATATATATATATATATCCCCCTCCTCTCTCTTTCTCTCTGTCTTGATCTTTCTCTCTCTCTTGATCACTCTCTTTCTCTCTGTCAGACTCCCCTTAAACATGACAAGCAAAACTGTCTTTCTGACTTTCCCCAGAAAGTCTGTGCCCATGTCTTACCTCCTCCGGGTCATCGTCTGGTGTGCATGGTGTCCTGTCTGTGTGGAAGGAGATGGAGGATCCGTCTGAGTCTATAGAAGCCTCTTCGTCGTCGTAACCAAAGAACGTCTCTACCGCCGGTTTACACGGCTTAATGACCTTCTTCCTCCCTCCTGCACCCTGCCGTCTGTACCTCAGCAGCATATCTCTTTCCTAGAACATCATTCCATTTAAAAAAAAAAAAAAAAAAATGGTATTTGTCACGTGCCGAATATAACAGGTGTAGACTTTAACGTGAAATCCTTACTTATGAGCCTATTCCCCCCAAAAATGCACCCTATTCCTTATGTAGTGCACTACTTTTGACCAGGGCCCACCATATGTCTCTGTAAGTAGTGCACTTTATAGGGAAAGAGGTGCACTTTATAGGGAAAGAGGCGCACTATATAGGGAAAGAGGTGCACTTTATAGGGAAAGAGGTGCACTTTATAGGGAAAGAGGTGCACTTTATAGGGAAAGAGGTGCACTTTATAGGGAAAGAGGTGCACTCTATAGGGAAAGAGGTGCACTCTATAGGGAAAGAGGTGCACTTTATAGGGAAAGAGGTGCACTTTATAGGGAAAGAGGTGCACTTTATAGGGAAAGAGGTGCACTTTATAGGGAAAGAGGTGCACTCTATAGGGAAAGAGGTGCACTTTATAGGGAAAGAGGTGCACTTTATAGGGAAAGAGGTGCACTTTATAGGGAAAGAGGTGCACTTTATAGGGAAAGAGGTGCACTCTATAGGGAAAGAGGTGCACTTTATAGGGAAAGAGGTGCACTTTATAGGGAAAGAGGTGCACTTTATAGGGAAAGAGGTGCACTTTATAGGGAAAGAGGTGCACTTTATAGGGAAAGAGGTGCACTTTATAGGGAAAGAGGTGCACTCTATAGGGAAAGAGGTGCACTTTATAGGGAAAGAGGTGCACTTTATAGGGAAAGAGGTGCACTTTATAGGGAAAGAGGTGCACTTTATAGGGAAAGAGGTGCACTTTATAGGGAAAGTGAGAGACTAAGACACACAAGGACATTTCCATATCAGAGTCTGGGGAGGGGTTGCACCAAACTAAGATTACATTAGTCGTTGTTTCCATTGAACTATCCCTCATGGTACATTCCTATCATAATACTTGATGGAATTATCTGACAACTTACAATCACACTCTTCACGTATCCAGCAGTCTCCAGTGCCTAGAAAACATAACTCAGGATTTAATTGAATGTACAGAATCTGTGTACTGTATAATGTTGCAATGTCTCATCCTGTGTTTCATGACTATAAATCCCGTCCATTTGATTAACATCATCAATGTCTTCCTGTGTTTCATGACTATAAATCCCTTCCATGTGATTAACATCATCAATGTCTTCCTGTGTTTCATGACTATAAATCCCTTCCATGTGATTAACATCATCAATGTCTTCCTGTGTTTCATGACTACAAATCCCTTCCATGTGATTAACATCATCAATGTCTTCCTGTGTTTCATGACTACAAATCCCTTCCATGTGATTAACATCATCAATGTCTTCCTGTGTTTCATGACTACAAATCCCTTCCATGTGATTAACATCATCAGTGTGTGTAGCCTACCTGTGAAAGAGAGAGAGAGAGAGAGAGAGAGAGAGAGAGAGAGAGAGAGAGAGAGAGAGAGAGACAGAGAGAGAGAGAGAGAGAGAGAGAGAGAGAGAGAACAAAGAAATAAAGGAAGAGGGCGAGAGAGAGAGAATGACAGAGCAAACCCACGGAGGGAGCTGTTGCCATAGAAACGGTAATACCTTTGACAGGTCGTCAATAATATTCTGCTGTTCCAGAACCTGTAGTCTGAGGAACTCGATCTCTCTCTCCTCCTGACTCTGATCAAGGTCGTTTAGAGAGCTGGGCCGTCTTTTGGTACCCACCTTCTCTCTCTGGAAGGGAAGTAAACCGGTTAAAAAGGTGCAATGTGCACAAATCGCTCCGCCATTTCCTGGTTGCTAAAATTCTAGTAGTTCGCCCAATTTCAGTTTATGTGACAAAACAAGCGACGTATAGTCTAAAGAATCATTGTACCATCTAAACCGCTGTGAAATATATTTTCAATAACCAAAAATATTGTATATTCAGCTGTTTGAGGCTGGTGTACAAAACCCACAGTTAAAGACGCATAAGAACGGGAAACATAGAAATAGAGCACATAGAACAGATCTACTGCTTCTTAGACTTGCTTTCAACGTGAATGACAGATCTATAACTCATATTTCTATGTGAATTTGGTCGGGTCGCCCCAAAAAGTGACATATTGCAGCTTTAAAAACAAAGATATTCAATTTAAGTCATTCTCTGAAATCTGAAGAACCACATCTCTGTGCACTAGTCAGCTACTCAACTAGATTTATGTTAACTCTCTGCCACAAGAGATTACTGTACTGTGTGTTAAAGGTAGCCAGTGTTCGCTATACAGATGCGGTGAAATATATCGGCACCCTTGCATGATATGTTGAAGTTGAAAACACTTTTACTGTATACACATGTATTTGTTCGATTTACAACTGGACCAAGAAAAAACATTTTGGTCGGAGGCAATGATTCCCGTTCACTGTGTAAGTTCTCTCACCTGTTGTATGTTGCAGGTCTGAAAAGAAACCAGTTTTGAAAAGACAAAAACGGAAAATTCAGAACATTCCGCTCCATTGCACTCCATTGTAAATGCAAGGGTGCCAATATATTTCACCGCATCTGTAGGTTCAGGTATGACAATACAACACTTCACTGAGAGGTATGTTGTTCTCTATCTTGAAGAAGAATCATCTCAAACACTATCACACTACTCCTAAGTAATGTTATAATTCTTAAGCAAATACGACGTCGATCACATTCAAGGCTCTGAGCGTGAGACTGAAGCATTTATATTCCACTATGGTATGAACAAGGTCTTCTCATAGCAAG